GAACCAACCAATTGAAAATTTGCAAGTGCTTCCTTTGAATCTTTGTCGGCCACCTACCAAAAAGAACAGCCTCCACCATAGAATTTTTCGAACCATTTCTTGGTCTTTCCATTTTATAATTATTTTGATATTTCTTCATTAAATAATCAAACTTTAACTTATATTAAATAAGCATTAAGATTTAATCAATCGATTAGACCTAATTTCATATCCAATTATCGTCTATCCTATCAATTAGCCGATTAGAGCCAACTTGAGCCAACCCGAGCGTTGCTTGCTGGTTAAGACATCTTTAACCAACTAATTGAATTTCGCGAATTATGTTTAAATTTATAATTTTAAAAAATATTTTATCCCCGAAAAAAATGATTAATTTGAAGAATATTTATAAATAGGGTCTGAAGAATAAATGGACGTCCCCGCCCATACAAGGAAGGGGTGTGAGAGTCTCTTTGAGGGCTCCATGACGACTATTTTGTTCAACAAACAACGCTCAAGAAGATTTTTCCGGGCCCCTTTTAGATTCTCTCTAATATCTTAACTTATTCTTCAATCTTTCTTTTTCTTTTCGTTTTAGTCCTCTTAAAACTTGTAATCACAAGTAATTCTCGGTTAGATGACCTTCTGAAAATTTCCCTACGAAACATGTGAGTAAAGACAAAATACATTGAATCGACACATGTCCTATGTCGACCTATAAGGTCATCTTGAAAGGACACGAGTTAATTTATAGGGACGATCTCCATTCTTAGAACCACTGAATAAGTAACGTGACCATAATAGAGAAAGAGACATCATAAAAATACTCGAGTTAGTCAGTATGGATAGATTTTGCTCTTAAAAGCACTAATTGAATCGTAGTCGTGAAGGTTACACGATATTATAAACAAAAAAAAATATATAGAAAGACACAAAATCTTATCTTCTAGAATTTGACTCAAATTAATATTTAATTCAATATGAAATTCTTTTAAAATAAAAATCAGTGGCAAAAGTAGATTTGATTATTATACCCATAGAATAATTAAAAAAAGAAAAAAAAAGAAAAAAGAAAAAATGACAAATATTAGTGGATAAGCATTCTTCAACTTTAATTATCTAATTATCTTTTATTTTAAATTAATAAAAATATCTTAAAACTTTTTATTTATCTAAAAAAATATATTATTACGAGGATAAGTATAATTTTTTTAAATAATTAAAAAATAATCTGTCGGACTTTTATAGATTTATTTGATATAAAATTAAAAATTTATAAGTTTTTTAGGCAATTTTTAAAATTTAGAGACGATTTAATTTTTTTTTTTTAAATTGTTAATTTTTTTAATATTAATAAAGAGTAGATTTAAAAGCTTCTCTAATTAAGTGATAAAATTAAAAAGGAAAATAAAAAACAAAAAGGAATTAAATTTCAATTTAAATGTTTATTTATTGAATAGGATTAGGCTATAATTATATTCCTATTTAAATCGATACGGATATTAATTCGAATTTCATTTGAATTAAAAAAAGGAATAAAAAAAAAAGATTACTTAAATATATCAACAAAGTGGGACCCTTTTTTATTTTATCCAATTAAAGCAAACACGATAACGTTTTTTCTTGGGCCCCTCTTTGCCACGTCATCTTGAACCAGTCAAAATCCATTCCGGTTTAATACGGCACCGTTTTGGTGTGTGTTTGTGTGTTTTTTTTTTTTGCTAAATTAATAAATAATAAAAAAATACTCCAAAACTATATATTTTCTACCTAAAATTTTAATTTTAATTTTTAAATATACTCTTACTTTATGGACGAAGAATTATATTTTATTTAAAAAATATTTTAATTTTAATTAATATTTACAAAAATTTAAAAATATCCTTATTTTTAATATATAAATGAAACCATAATTATTAAGTTAAAAAAAAAACTTTCAAAAATAAAATTAATACCACTAATTTTATTCAAATTTATATTTTCATATTATTAAAAAAATTAATAAAAAAATTGAATTACTTATAAAAATTGTGGATGTCTATTATTATTATTATTATTTTATTAATATAATATTAGAAATATGAGGGTTTATCATTATACTTATGGTATTTGATTTTGTTTATAATGCATTAAGTTAATTTAAAAATATTAAATAATTGTTAAATTACAAGTTTCTCCTTGAAGTTAATTATGTTAAAAAAAAAAATTATTTAGTATATTTTTTGTTTTAAATATATAAAGTAAAATTTTGAATTATTAATTTATTATACCAAAAAAATTAAAAAATCCAATAAAATTATATTGGCCAACTTGTAATTGAAGCATAATTAAAATTGAGGGCAAATAGTATTTTTAAAATTATTATTTGTTTTTTAATATTTGAAATTAATAATAATAATAATAATCAGTTGCTTCCTTTCTCGGAGCTCTTTCTTTTATGGATCGCATTTTCCCCTTCCACTCTGTTCATCTTTCTTTCTCGCTCTGTTAGGGCCATCACTATCCCTTTGCCCAACGTTTTCCGACAGCGAAGTCTTCGCCGGCGAGCGCTAGAAGAAGGCCTCTCCGCCGCTTCCACTTCCGTAAGATTCTCTATCTTCGCCGTCATGGAGGTTCTCATCGGTCCTCCCTCTTTCACCATCCAGGTTGCCTCTTCTTCGCCTTTTGTCAGAGATCGGACCGCTGCTTCTCCGCTCCCGCCGCCGCTGGACCATGCTCTTGATTCGCCTTGGAACTGTTTCAATTCTTTCCGAACTTACGCTGTCCGTAAAGCTCCGGAGGATGAAATCGATTACCGTTCTGATTCCTCTTCCTCGATCGGAGTTCCTGATGGTGATGAGAGCGAGGATGAGAGCATTTCGTCCACTGGTGGAGATCAAGAGGAGGAGGTTCGGAGTAAACTGGATTCAGGATTCGTGTCTCTCGGATCGTTGGAAGAGTCTCTTCCGATTAAGTGAGTCCGAATTTAATTTTACCGTTTCTTTGCGTTTCCTTCCTTTGTTGTTTGATCGATTAATTGATGGAGATAACTTCAATCACTCGATTCGATTAAAATGCTAAAAGACGTTTTCGTCTTCAATCTGCTGGTCTCAATTTGAGTTTCATTGCATTTGTAAATCAGGAGAGGCTTATCGAGTCACTTTTCTGGAAAATTGAAATCGTTTGCGAATCTAGCAGAGGCGAAATCAGTAAAAGACATTGTGAAACCTGAAAACTCTTTCAATAAGAGAAGAAGAATTTTGATTGCGTCAAAATTGGCTAAGAAATCGTCGTTCTACACCTGGCCGAACCCTAAGTCGATGCCTCTGTTAGCGCTCAGAGAAGTAGATGATGATGATGATGATGATGGCGACGAAGAAGAAAAAAAATCACCTGCTTCATATTCTTCAGAAGATAATGAAGATGAAGATGAAGAACTGAAAATAAAAAGAGTTTCAGATTTTCATCGAAGACGGTTTATGAGCTTCAAGTCGAGATGCTTTTCTCTGGCGGATCTGCAACAGCGGCACCATGATCAACCACAAGAACATTAATCCGTAGCCTTAGCTTCTTCTTCTTCTTCTTCTTTTTTCTTTCTTTTTTTTTTTGGTTATTTGTTTTTTTTTCTTTCTTAATTTTATTTTCTCCTATTATATTGTAATTTGCACACACCTATCCAATATAAATAAAAAGGTTTTTTTTTTTTTTTTTTTTTTCAATCTTAATTTCAGTATATTTTCCTAGGGATAAAATAGAGCAAAAATAAATATTTATCCTTCCTTTTAATTTTTTTTTATTTTTTTTTTGTTTAGGTTAGTTCCATTGATTTATACAAAATTTATTAATACTTATATTTATTTATATATTGAAAATTTATTTTTTCGCATGTTAAAAAAAATATTTTTCAAATTCTTCCGGAATAAATAATAAAAAATAATTATAAAAGTAAATAAATATATGTATATATAATTATGTGATTTGATTCAACTCCATTTAAAGAAATTCACGACCAACTCAATTCATATAAATTTTTATTTATTTTAATCCAACCTAACTAAAATATGTTCGTAACCTAACCCAAACTGCATAGGTTGAGTTGGACTGATCGTTTGATTTAGATTCAACTCCATCTAATTTTAAGGAAACTCACGACCAACTCAATTCATAGAAATTTTCATTTATTTTAATCCAACCTAACCAAAATATGTTCGTAACCTAACCCAAACTGCATAGGTTGAGTTGGGTTGATCGAATTTTTTAAATATCTCTAATTTTCTTCAACTTTAAAAATGACTACTAAATTTATGATCAATGGTATCTAAAACTCATTGGTCAGATGTCATAACCCAGTCAGTTAAGTCATGCTTACTCCGATAAATGATTTTACAGGACAAAGTATCCCGTAAAATGTCAAAGAAAAAAATTTCTTGACTCGATCTTAATCTTTATCGATACTTTCTATTTCTTCTAGAAAATAAATAAATAAATAAATAGAACGAGTAATCAACATCAATAGGTGTCAAATCCACCCGAGGAATTCAATAAAAAGTTTGAATATTGTTCTTCTTTTATTAGGTATTGATTTGAAACTTTGGGACCAAAAGATAAGATAAGATAATTTCAATTTTGATTTGTTGGAAATTTGGGGTTTTTTTTTCAATTATGTTTGTTTGTTGGGGGGAAAAATAATAAATTAAAACTTACGTCCTAAAATAATTGAGCAATGACTTGGAGATAAATGACGTGGATATTTGATCATAAAAAAAATGGAATAAGCTATAAATTAATTAATATTTAGAGTTTTGTAGTGTTGGAATTAATTAATTAATTAATAATACCGTGTAATTAAAGAAAATAGTTAAAATAAAACCTTTTTTAAAAAAATGCATAATAAACAAGTACACGTATGCTAATATCCCTTCTATAATTATGACGTCATAAATACTTTGGGTCTCATTTGGGCCTGGGTATAAAGGCTAGTCCACCATTTAGGCCCAAAAGGCCCAATAGATTTTTTGGACTGACGGCTTCATTTGCTTCTTGTGTGTGAAGATATCATGGCATCGGTAATTTCAGCATCTCGATTTACATTCTCCATTTCGAATTCCTTGAGGCTCTGTTGGAACGCTAGGGTTTGGCTACCTTCTTCAATTTGTCTCCGCTCTTGGAATTGGAATTCCATTTCGTTTAGCTCGGCTTCTATGAGTGAATCTGGTGAAAGTAATTCTGTTCTTCCACTGGACGACGGCGGAGCGAAGGCGGAGGAGGCCGCCGATGTTTTGGTTCAGTACGTGGTGCTACGGAGAGATCTGATCGATTCGTGGCCGCTCGGAAGTGTTGTGACTCAGGGATGCCATGCTTCAGTCTCCGCCATTTGGTTGAATAAAGACGATCCTCACACTTCGGAGTACTGTAGTCCCCAAAATATCGATTCTATGCACAAGGTTAGCCGAAGATTTATTTTCAACGGTAGTACATTGAACTTGAACAATGCAGTATGCGTCCATAGTCTTGATTCTTGTTTGCTGAAGTGCTGAAATTTTTCTTTATTGGTGCTCTGCTCTGTTAAGTCTGTTCTGAAGGTTGACAGATGAAACATTTTTCAGCAATTTGGAACTTCCGTGCTCGGTTGTAGTCGGGGAAGAACACTTTGTCTCTGATCTTCAATATTTCTTTCGTCACGTGTCTAGCATTTTAGGACAATGGTCTATTTTTTTCCGTCTGAGGAAATTCTCAACTCTGAATCCATTTTGCTTGTATGGAGCTGAATATTTTCATTTTTCCACCTAATGTTCATATAGTTTTTAAGAATCTCCACCATAGTCGGAGATCAAGGAGGGCTCATTACTTTCGTATCTCTGCTAGTTCATTTTCTTTTAGTTTTATTTAGTTTTGAAGTGTTCTACATGGTTAACCGCCATTTTGCATGGCAGCCCGTTTAACCAGCTCCATTTTAATTCCAAGTCTTTTCGTTTCAAGTTTTCAAAACGATTGAACTACCAAAATGGACTTTGGAAAATTCCTTGCGTTTCAGGTTACCATCTTGTGCAAATTAATTTGAAATTACCGGTGTTCTATATTTGATTGATCCCTTATGCCGCTCTGGACTTTTTGATCTCTGAAGTGGGAATTATCATGCTGACTTTATTTCACTTTTTCTTTATGTAGGTTACTCTCGAGGTGAAGGGAGAAACCCAGATCGTTAACTTATCAGAGAAACTTAAAGCAAATTCAATCGTCCATAAACTGTGGGTAGAACAGCCAGAGAACATTCCAACATGTCTTGCCTCAAAGCCCTACCCCAAATCAGTTGTATCACCATTTTTTAAAAAGCTGAAACTCTGTAAGTGATGGAGTATTAAATTTTAAGGATTGATGGGCAATAATTTCCTTTTCAACGACCCTCCCCTACCCAAAAAAGTGAGAGAGAAGAACGGCTTTCGTGAATTCGACGTTAAAAGGGCTGCTGATTATTTTTATGCACCTCTTCTAGTTCATGTTAAACTCTGAATAATTCATTCTACGTTTTGAATCCAGAACTGCAATCTATTTCTATAGAGATCATGCAGCATACACAGTAGTTCGTAATCATAAAAGAGACGTGGAGAAAGGTCAAAATTCTCTAGCAATCTCAAGGTATGTATATCAGTATATCTATTTTTAAGATAGTAGGAGATTATTACACAAACACTGATCATAATCTCAAAACGAAGATAAGATGGGTCACCCCCATCTTAACTTCAAAGATCATGGAAAAGAACAAATCTGTAAGATAACAGTGTTTCTACTGCATAACAAGCTCTCTGTTGCAGCTGTTGCAATTGAACTTGCGTTTACTTTTCCAGTAGAGAGGGAGGAAACAGAACCTCCATTTGGTTTCTACGTCGGTGGCCTGGATCGTGCCTCCGCAGTAGGGACATGCCCCCGGAGCTGGCTGCCTCGACAGGATCCTCTGGTCCTCATCGCACACAAACACCAAACACATCTCTTCTTCTCCTTTGTGTTCTTGCTTTCTGATCCCCTGCTTTTGGGTCTTGGGTGAAAAGTCCGGTTGGGAAATTAGTGGTGGACTTCGAAGATCAGAGAGATGGATTTATAGAGAGAGAGAGAGAGAGAGAGAGAGAGAGAGAGAGAGAGAGAGAGAGAGAGAGAGAGAGAGAGAGAGAGAGAGAGAGAGAGAGAGAAGGAAGGAAAGAAAGTTCATGGAATTTGAGAGTTAAAGACCCACTCGTAAAAGAAGAAGAAAAGTAATGTCTTGAAGAAAAGAAAGTTCAAACGGGGACTTTTATACCCTCTTGAGAAGAAATTGGGGCTCATTTCCTCATTTCCTCGTAGGTGACACAAATGAAATCGCTTCCTTGACCGCCCATCTTATGAGTCCATTCCTGTCTTGTCGGTTTGTTGTACTATTCTGTATGAAGGACGTTCGGGAGATGGGAGGGCCCATCATAAGGGAACTTTTCTTTTCATGATAGGTGAAGGTAGAGTGGGAGCTACGTATGTCCAGGGTGTTCAAGAGACAATAATTCGTTTGGACTTTTGACCAAACCTTTCCGCTTCTTCGAGTTCATTGAATTGCTTTAGGTAATTTAATTGGTTTATTAGGTAGCAATGGGGATTAGTAGTGTGCAACCATTTCAAAATTTGCTCAAACCCAAACCAAAAAAAAAAAAAAAAAAA